ATGTTATGTTATGTTATGTTATGTTATGTTATGTTATGTTATGTTATATATTAGGTCAGGCAATGTAGAGTTGGCTTCTGTTCTTGAGGTATATTTAGATGTGTTCAGCATATTTCCATTTTATTAGCCCAGATTCCATGTTGTTTAGTACTCAAAAATCTATAAACTATTTTGGTTAAAAAAAAAAAGACAAGTTTTGATACCAAGAATTCTTTGCAGCACTTCTCAGTAAGTAAAATGATGTTAAGTTCATTGTTTGCATCTTACTCTCATGAATGTGTTTTAGTTTTACTTTCATTTCAGTTTATTCATCAGTGATTACGTAAATGTAATGAAGATGACTGATAGCTTGAGAAAATCCAGTCTAGAATTATTCTTGGAAATTGGGGGGTAGGGGGGAGAACTTGTGGTTGTTTTTGGTGAAAATAGTTGGCAGATTCCATAAAATAAAAATTTAATCAGTAAACTTGTCATGGATTTCACTTTCATCAATGGTTGGAGTTTTATATGTACTGCAAATGTATATGGATTTCTTACCTGGTAATCATCAAGTAAAATGACTGTATTTCATAATCTTGGGGAGTTTTCTGCTAAACCAAGATTTTTTTCCAAACGTTCATAGTATTAGGACGTTTGATGTGTAGGTCTTAAAATGTGACATAAGCACACTTACCTTTACTTGTAAAATTATTCTGTCCCTTTTCAGTACAGGTTTTTAAAAACATTGTTTCAGGAATGTTATTTTACTGCAAAAATGTATCATCCCTAGTTTATAGAATTTGGCCTTTGGCTAAATTTTATTTTGTTAATTACAAAAAAAAAAAAAAAACATGATTGGCTTGAGCCTGTTGTTAAACATCTACTCTTTTTTTTTTTGTGTGTGTGAGGCATTTGGGATTAAGTGACTCCCTCCAAGTGATGCAACTAGTAAGTGTTATTGTGTCAGGCCAGATTTGAACTCAGGTCCTCCTAACTTCAAGGCCGGTGCTCTATTGACTGCACCACCTAACTGCCCCCAAATGTGTACTCTTCTTGATCTTTCCTCTTACCTCAGCTACACAAAGTGAATTTTATGGACATTGTGAAAATGTTTATTATTCTGAAAGAGTTGTGAGCCCTCCCTTGGTTCTTTTAGTACTTGCAGCACATTGTAAATGGTTTTGAATGAATCTTTGTTTTATATTTTTTATTTGGAGAAGCTTCAATTAATTATCAACACTATGAGAACTTAATGAAAATAGACATTAAAATCTAGTTCCTTACTAATTTTACTTTATAGCAAACTAGTTTAATAGTTTTTCATGTAAATATTGGGCTTAGAAAATTTTAATTGTTTTAGAAAGTACATTGAAAGTTATCAAAACATTTAGTGTTATTCAATGAGAATGATGTTTACCTCAGTTTTTCACCCTGGTTTGTCTCTCTGTAGACAATCAGTGCTTAAGCCTTTTCTTATATGAAGATCGTTTTTTGACATTAAAAAACTTTGAAACCCCTGAGTAGTATTAGTGCTGTTATTCCATTGATTAAAGAAATATATAATGACAAAAATTACTTTGAATTCGGTAATATTTTGAAATGAATTTACATTTTATAATCACAGCAGCACCCGCAAATCATTGGAAAACAGTACTACATAGATCCAGAAGCCATTTAATCTATGAAGGGTGGTAATTGAGAACCACTAGACTAAATATATGACTTATAAAATCAGGCATGCTTTCTAATAATCTTGAGTTAGAAATAGAAATTAACGTCTTTAAGGTCATTGAGGGGAGTATTCAAAATAGTGAGTTACAGTATTGTACTAAATAAATACTTCAGTTAATTTGATGTTTAATGTTGAGGACAAAAATCCTTAATATTCCCAAATTATAAATATTTATTGTTTTGCAGTGCAAAATTTTAAAAATATAACAAGTATTGAACATTTACTCATTTATCATCAGCTGTCATGATTTTGCTTGAGATAATTCTGTGAGGTATAGTACTTCATTTTAATTTGAAGTATTGTACTAGATGCCCCAGAGACATCTTAAGCTCACCATGTGCAAAACTGAGCTTGTTATCTATCTTTGCCCCTCACAACCACTTCCCCTTTTCCAAGCTGTAGAAGGCCACCAACCTTCCAGGCTCCCAGGTACTGGACTCGTCCTGGACTCTCACTGGCCCTTACCCCATATGTCTAATCTTGATAGGCCTACTTTCACAGCATTTCTCATTCAACTCTCTCTCTACTCACCAAACCTCACCTTAATTATCACTCTAGCCTAAACTATTACAGTGGCTTACTTATTGATCCCGTCTCAAGTCTCTCATCACTGCAATTCATCTTTTATAGTGATACCAAAGCTCAGATCTGACTATGTCACTCCCTTCCCAATGTTGAGTGTTGGATAAATATAGATTCCTCTGTTTAGATTTTAAATCCACTCACAACCTGTGCTCAATCTGTTTTATCAGCTTAATTGGGCATTACTCTCCATCTTGTACTCTGATCCAGCTAATCTAACTTTGCCTCCATTTCTCACCCACATGCTCTTTCTCCCTTCTCTTTGCCTTTGCACTGGCCATCCCACATGCCTGAAATGTGCTCCCTGCTTAGCCCCTCTCTTCCTTTAAGATGCAGTGTGAGCACTAGTGTCTGCATGAAAACTTTTCTGATTGCTCATATGGCAAGTACCCTCCCTCCCAAACTACCTTGTATTTGACTACTTTGTATTTATTGACTTTATATTTATGCTGTGTATATTAATGAGTATACTTGTCTCCCCTATAAAAATATAAACTAATTGGAAGTAGGGATTCTTTCATTCTTAGTACTTGTTTCCCTAGGGCCTAGCACAGTGCTGGCTCATAGACTCATAATAAATACTTGTTTGGTGATGGATTTAATTATCTTATTGTAGATAGAATTTGTTAAACTATTTAGATATGTTCAAACATTTTTCTTACTTAGAATGGATTTTGAATTAAATAAAAATTTTTTTATAGAACTCTAGTACTTCTGATAGTTGAAACTTCTTTTAAAAATGTTTGTGCTTTCATTTAGGATTGCCATGAAAAGTTCAGAACTCCTGTACATATATGGTTCCCTGGATTCCCGAGTTAGAGCTCTGGTGTTCAGTGTACGATGCTGGGCACGTCAGCATGCCTTGACAAGTAGTATTCCTGGTGCCTGGCTAACAAATTTCTCCCTTACGATCATGGTCATCTTTTTCCTTCAGAAAAGATCTCCTCCAGTTCTTCCATCTCTAGACTATCTAAAAAATCTAGCAGGTAAGAATAGAAGCAATTTGCTTTTTCTTCTCTTTTTAATGTTTTTTATTAACCAGATAATCATTTGCCATTACTGAATACCTCATGAATCTGAATTTGAAGATCCTTTTATTTTGTCCCTACTAGTGGGCAGGAGAACAAATGATTTGTGTCAGTGGGCCTTTGGAGCTCCTCTGTAGATCTGGATCAGAGAATAAAACAAGACACCTTTACTAGCTGTTTGAGTTGATCTGACTCCTACAGTTTCTGAGGGAACTCGGACAAGAAGATTCCCTAAGAGTCCACCAGTCTAACTTCTGATTGGGTCAGACCTTAAAAGCTGACTAGAGGCTAGGATCCACTGGGACTTCTTCAGGCTGTGCCTGTTGCCTTATTGACCTTGAGAACCTTTCAGTTCTTTGGGGTTGTCAGTGGGTCTTCCATGCATGTCATAGCCTGGCAGTTTTATTGTTGTTGCCATTACAGTATTTATAAAAATAGTCTGATACCTGCTGAGCTCTCATAACAGCAGAGAGGACAATAGACCTTTGCAGCTTCGATCTGTGAAGTCAGGTTTGACATCATCAGTGTCACACTTCCATCCACAAATGTCACATTTTATGTTCACAGCTGTTTGACTAATGAATCATTTTCAATATGAAATGGGTTAGCAAGAGTGATTTAAGAAAAAGACTCCTTAAATAGGTTTGTAGAATTTTAAAGCATGGAGGGGCCTTTACAGATTTTCTTATCCAGCCCATTTATTTTATAGCTAAGGAAACTTTCCCTTTCAAACTCCCTGTTTCTCTTGGGAGCCCTCCATCCTTCCAGTCATTCAGTCTTGTAACTTTGGTGTTATACTTGATTCCTCAATCTTCCTGTCCCCACATATACAGTCAGTTGCCAGTTCTTCTCATTTTTACCACCATAATCCCAGACTTACTTTCTGATTGGTCTCTCTTTCTCAGTTCTGTCCCCTCTTCAGTTAATCTGACACACAACTGCCAAAATGATTTAACTAATGTGTAGTTTTGACTATGTCCCCTTTTCAGTAAACTCCACTGATTTCCTGTTGCTTCGAGGATGAAATATAAACTCTTCTGTTTAGTTTTTTAAGCCCTGATCCCAGCTTGCTTTCCCAACCTTGTTATATCTTACTTCCCTTCCCATACTCTGTTGTATAGCCCAAGCTTTTTGCTGTTTTTCACACATAATGCTTCATCTCCTATCTTTGAATCCTTGTAGCAACTGTCCCGCAAAATGCATTTGATTATCACTTCTCCCTCTTAGGATCTTATTTTTCCTTCAAAACTCTGCTCAAATGATACCTTCTACATAGATATAAGCTCCTTTAGAAGCTGGTATTGTTCAGTTTTTGCCTCTCTATCAGTGCCTGGCATATAGTGTATTAGATACTTAATAATGCATGTTGGTTGATTTTGTTTACATTTATCAGTACAAAACTGTTGAAGTCACAGGCTTTGATGAACTGTATCCTAGGGTAATGAAATGGTGGGCAGATGAGATCCCTAACTGTAATCTTTAAAAAACACTGGCAATTTGGAATTATGCAAATAAATAATTAAAATATTCATGCCCTTTGACCCAGAAATTCTGTTACTGGTCATATACCTCAGAGAGGTCAAGGACATCTTTTGTGACAGCAACAAACTGGAAGCAAAGTAGATGCCCATAAGTGGACTAAATGGCTAAACAAATTGTGTTACGTGAATATAATGGAATATTATTGTGCTCTAAGAAACAATGACTATAATAATGAATGCAGAGAAGCATGAAAAGACTTATATGAACTGATGCAAAGTCAGTAAGCAGAATGAGGAAAACAATATACATGACTACAGTGTAAATGGGGGAGGGGGGAAGAATACCATAATCATTACTGAATGCATTGAAATTATAATGACCAAAGACTAAAGTGAGATGACACTTCCCTGCCACTTGCAGAAGAGGGAGTCATCGGGTGTAGAATAACACTTGTAATGTCAAGCTTTTTCTGTGTGTGGGTTAGTCCTGCTGGACATTTTCTTTTTTAATGTTTATATAAGTGTTGCCTCTCTGGGAGGCAAGGATGAGGAAAGATACAGGAAGAAATGGAGGTGGTGTAAAAACAAAAGATATCTATAAAATTTTGTTATAAAAAGAAAGATATTGGAAAACAGGAGAGGCACCATTAGATTAGACAAAAGACACATTCATGGTTTTCAAAAATGGAAAGAGAATACAAGTCTGCAGACTGATAGGCTAATAGTGAGTTTGCCTTCACTTTCTGGCAAAATTCTAAAGTATTATAAAAAGATTGTTTGTGAGCACTTAGAGAAACAGCAGTCACTCAAAACCAGAATGGTTTCATCAAAACCAGATTATGCCAGACCATCTTAATTTCCTTTTTTTGACAATGTTAGACCAGTCAGTCAAGAGGAATACTATAGAAATAGTGTACTTGAGAGTTCAGTGTGGTATGATTCCCCATGGCAAATAATACTGTTTTGTGAGCAAAAATAAAAATTTTAAAACAATTCATTGTGTTCTGCCTTCATCAGTCTATTTCCAGCATACTGTGGTCCATTCCAGGTATTTGACAAAGTATTTTTATCATTTTCCACATGGAGAAATATGTGCTAGATGATGATGTATTTAAGAGGATTCATAACTGGTTGAATCAGTGGACCCTAAGAGGAATATTCTTATTGGTTCTGTATCACTTTAAATGTTTCTATTGATGTTTTGAAGGGGCCTGTCTTTGGCCCTTGTACTGGTCAACATTTTCATCTGTGACTTAGATAAAGCCTCAGAAGGTTTACCTGTCAGACTTTCACTTGACTTGAATCTGCAGAATTGACTTAGAGAAGAGAAGACATGGCTAGGAAAATGTGGTGGTCATTTTGGAAGATTTGGAGGATTTTCATGTGGAAGGGAGGGATAGACTTGTCCTTGCTGGGAGGGTAGTACCAGGAGAAATGGGAAGTTAGAAAAAGGCTGATTTTGGCCTTGATGGAGGATGAGAGAGTGGAAGAGGTTAGCTGAACACTTGTGAGGGGTGTTGCAGAAGGGATTCTTTTCCAGTACAGGTTGTACTGGATGGCTTCTGAAATCCTCTCCAAGATTCTTTGTTTCTGGGAAGGATAGCTAATATATTGGATGATAGATTCAGGATCCAGAAAGATCCTGTCAGGGCTGAACAAAGAACTAAAATAAATGAGGTGAAATTGAGTAGGGACATTTGGGAAGGTCACTAGACTTAGGCTTTGATGCAAGCTGCTTATGCAAGTGCAGAAAATAAATTTCAACAAGTATAGAATGGGGGAGTTGTAGCTTGACAACATTTACTGTGAAAAAAGTCTGGAGGTTTTAATGAATTACAAGCTTAAATAGGATCACATGACATCAGCAAAACTTAACGCTTTCAGTGCAGTGATCTAAGTTCCAAAAGACTAATGATAGAAGACATCCAGAGAAAGAACTATGGAGTCTGAATGCAGATCGAAGCATACTATTTTTTTGTTTTTTGTTTTCTTTCTTGTGGTTTTTCCTCTTTTGTGCTGATTCTTCTTTCACAGCATGACTAATGTGGAAATATATTTAATATGATTATACATGTATAGCCTATATCAGATTACACGCCATCTTGGGGAGGGGGAAAAGTTTAAAACTCAGTCTTATAAAAGTGAATGTTGAAAACTAAAAATAAATAGATCAATAAATGAAAAAAAAACTTCACGCTATCTTAGGCTATATTAAGAGAGGCATAGTGTTCACAAACAGGTAGTTTCATGTTATCATTGTTTCTCTAAAGATGTGCTGTGAAATTTGGACATTAATCTTATTGCAAATAAATGTATAAATAATTTTGATTAGTATAAATTCTTTCCCAGCATACATCCTTTGGTAAGTACATTATTTACAAAAGAATAAAAACTGCCTATTACATGTATTCATTAACTTCAGAACATATCAGACTTGGAAAAGAAAAGAAACTCAGCTGCTCTTACTGAATGGAAATTGCATGCCCATGTATCCTAGATTTCCTGTTGTTTTACTAGGTTTTTTTCAGGTCATTTGAAGTGCTATAATGTGCAAAGGACACTAGATTCGTTTTGCTTGGCCCCTGAGGACACCACCAGGGGCAATGGACTTGCTGATAATTAGAGCTTCCTAGAAGTGGAGTGGGCTGTGTGTGAATAGAGGCTGGATTTCTACTCTTTGGGGATCTTGTAAAAGAAGATTTGGTCAGATAGGCTTTTTCAAGATGACCTCTAAGGTCTCTCCCACTTCTTAGATGCTCTGATTCTGTGGTCTTTAAAGATATGATAGGGACCCCGTGCCACTAAATGATCAACTTAGTCATTTAAGTTTATTGCAGCCTGTGTTATGTTTCATTCACTGTTTAGGAGCTAGTCTCATTCTTTTCCATGTTATTTTAAAGTGAGCTAGGCCGGGGTGCGGGGGGGCGGGCAGTGCTTGACATGAACTCAGGAGAGACCTGACAGCCTCATTTCCGTGACGGCTGTGTGACTATGACCTTCACTTCACTTAAGGTCTCTGCACCTTGGTTTCCTTATCTGTAGAATGGAGACAATGGTATCTGACCACAGGGTTGTTAGGGTCAGGTGACCCTATGTATGCAAAGCCCTTTTCAGTGTAAATGTCCATTAGTTATTAGTAATAGGGACAACAATGATGAATGAAAACACCTTTATTAAGTGCATACTTTGTATAAAGCCTTGTGCCAAACCCTGGATACAAACAGAAAAGCAAGATAGGCACTCCTAACAAGGAACTCACATTCTAAGAAGGGAGATGTCATGTAGAAGAGGTTTTAACTACAAAGCAAATGGTATAAATCTTCTCAAATGTCATTTATATTGATAAAACAGTGTCTGTTTCTGATGTTGAGGCATTTGAAAGTGCTAAAGACTTTGGTAATGAGAACTTTCTTTTCTGAGTCTTCAGCAACTCTGGCTGCGGAGGAGACAGGGTGTAGCACCTGCACAGACAGTTGATGGGTCCCATTTCACAAAGATTGTTCCTCTGAACAGTAACTTTAGAGGCTGAGCTGGTGGTCAGGTAGGCCTTTTCCCAGGCCTTGGCTACCTATTGCTAATATTTGTTCATTGGTGTTGGTGGTCAGGGGTGGAAGGGCCTTCTCCACTACAGTTAGGCTGGAAGTACAAACTGCCCTTCAGAAGTAAGTTGGTAAATACAAACTTTATTCCCAGTGTTCAAGTTATTAATAACAAAAGACATTCACTTCTTATGCTTATTTTGATTGGTACAAATCTCAGGTCTTTTTACAAAGAAGGAAACTATTATAAAATAATTTTCACTGATTGTTTCACTTTTGCCTTTTTTTAGATGCAAGAGATAAATGCATAATAGAAGGCAATGACTGTACATTTGTTAGCAACTTGGACAGAATTAAACCTTCAGAAAACACAGAAACACTCGGTAAGCAGTGCATTAATATTTTCAAAAGAATAATAAAAAGTTTTTTGTTGCTTTAGCCACTGAATATTTATTGAGCACTTATGAACTAAATGGTCAAAGCAAACAGTCAATAATTATTTAGCACCTGCTATGTAGCAGGTACTATACTAAGTGCTGGGGATACAAAAAGAGGCAAAAGACAGTCCTTGCTTTCAAGGAGTTCACAATCTACTAGGAGGGAAACAGTAAATAAAAACAAGCTATATACAGGGTAAATAGGAAATCCTTAAGAAGGAATGTACCAGAATTAGGAGGGGTTGAAAAAGGCTTAGTAGGATTTTAGTTGAGACTTGAAGGAAGCCCATAGCTAGAGATGAGGAAGGAGAACATTCCAGGAATGGGTGACAGCCAGAGAAAATTCCCAGAGATGGAGTGTCTTGTTCATAGAACTGCAAGGAGGCCAGTGTCACTGGATTGAAGAGTACATGGTGGGGAATAAGGTAAAAGAAGACTGGAAAGGAGTGGGAGTGGGGTGGAAGAGGGAGTCACTGGAGTTTATTGAGTGGAGGGAGTGACATAGTGGGATTCCTGCTTTAGGAAAATCACTGATGGCTGAATGGAGGATGGATTGAAGTGAGGAGAGACGTGAGGCAAATGGGTGAAAATTGACAGATTTTTGGCAAGAGATTGGGTGTTGAGGGGTGAGAGATAGTGAAAAGTTGAGGATGACTCTTGGGTTGGGAACCTCTGTGGGGGACTGGCACAGTGGGGCCTTCAACAGTAATAGGAAGTAGGGGAGAGTTCAGGGGGAAAGTTAATGAGTTCACTTTTGAACATGTTGAGTTTTAAGATGTCTGCTGGACATCCACTTCAAGGTGTCTGAGAGACAGTTGGAGGTGCAAGATTGGAGGTCAGCAGAGAGGTCAGGGCAGGATTAGCATAATTAAATTCATAGAAGCTAACGAGATCACCAAGTGAAGTAGTGCACAGGGAGAAGAGAGGCCGGAACAGAACCCATACAAGTGGTGGGTGTGACCTGGATGAGGATCCAGCAAAGGAAATTGAGAAGGAACAATAGGTGTGGTAGGAGGAGATAAATAAGAGAAGGCAGTGGTGTCCCAAAAACCCAGAGAGAAGAGAGTATGAAGGAAGAGAGAATGGTCAATAGTATCAAAAGCTATGGGGAGGTCAAAGAGAATGAGGATTACTGAAAGGCCATTGGGTTTGGCAGTTAGGAGATCATTGTAAATTTGGAGAGAGCAGTTTTGTGGAATGATGAGATTGGGAACTAGATTGTAAGGGATTAAGAAGAGAGTGAAAGGAGAGGTAAGTGCTTGTTGTAGATGACCTTCTCCAATTGTTAAGTCACAAAGGGTGGGAGAGATAGAAGATGATAGGATCCAGTGAGGTTTTCTGAGGAGTTGGGGAGACATGGGCATTTTTGTAGGCAGCAGGGAAGAATCATAGACAGGGAAAGATTGAAGGTAAGTGATAGACTAGGGATAACAGAGTCTTTTGGAGGAGATGGGAACAAACACTGTGAGAAAGTAAAAGGATAAACAAGAAATTATCCATAGGAAGCTTGCACCATGGTGGAGAGGTAAGAGGTACATATAGAAAGACTATAATCCAGCTAGAATATAATCAGGGTAGATCGTTAAATAAAGTTCGGTCAGAGATTTGAGCGAAGTGCTTTGGGAATTCAGAGAAGGAAGAGATGATTTCCAGCTAGAGGATCAGAGGAGGCTTCTTGGAAGAGCTGATATTTACATTGAACCTTGAAGGAGGGAGATACTGGATAGGTGCATTTGGGGTGGCAGTGGGGCTATTCCAGTTGAGGGAAATAGTGTGAACAAAGTGGAGAAAGTATTCCAGGGACCATTAAGTCATTGGACGTGGGATGAGGGCAGTGTTAAATAGTAAATTAACTCAGTGAGGTTGGTTAGGGCAAAATCACAAAGGGTTTTGAATGCCAGTCTAAGGAATTGGCCTACATCTGGCTGATACTGGGGACCCATTACAGAATTTTGAGTGTTAGGATGAAATAGGATCATAGATTTATAGCAGGAAGGGATCTTAGAAGCCATCCAGTTCAGCCATAGCATCTTATATTTGAGGAAGCTGATGAAGACAGATGAAATGACTTGTCAGGGGTTGCCCAGTTAGAAGGTGGCAGAGGCAGGCTCTCTCCCAGGTCCCCCAGTGCCTCCCTTGGAGAGGGCTGTGTGTGGCTGCTGTGTGGACAGACAGACTGGAGGAAAAAGACCAAGGAAGTCCAGGCTTACAGGCTTGGGTTAATGATGGCTGTGGACATAGGCATTGAAGGAGGTTAGGGGAGAGTGTCCTAGAGAGACTCCAGAGATAGACCTGACAGGAGTTGACGAGTGACTGAAGGTAAAGGAAGGCGGAGCTGTGGAAGGTGGATGAGTACTGATTTATCATGGAAGCAAAGGCCAGAAAGAGTGTGAGGGAGAGAGAAGGTCAGCAGTGAGAGGTCATAGAGAAAAGACCGTTGGAATTGGAAACTAACACGATATGATAGGATGATAGAACAGTTTGAAGAACAGTGTGGGCCGAAGAAGGGAGTCATAGGACATTCTCCTTTCAGACCAGGAAGGGAAGGAGAGTTGGTTGGGGGAGGAATCACAGGGTCTGTAGGCAGTGCAGGTGCAAGAGAGGAATGGCTGGTAAGAGTGACAATCCGGAGGAGAGCATGACGCAGTGGTGGCGAGGGCCCGGGTGCTGGATTCTTTAATAACGACTTTATCTGAAGCAATTTTTCCTATTTACTTCTATTTTACTTTTTCTTCCAGATATCCTACTGTGTCAGTTTTTTGAATATTTTGGAAATTTTTCTTTTAATAAAAATTCTATAAACATCCGAAAGGTAAGTATGCATGCATTGATCCTCTATTATTGATGACCTTATCTGTCACATCTTCAGTTGTTGAAACATTATATGTTTTAATACACAAAGTAGATGTGTAAGCATGGTGGTGCTAAGTACTAGCTGTCATTATTTAATTTGTGCATTTTTGAGTGTGCTTAATGGGGTTCAGATTAATAGGTATGTTTCTATTAAGTATCCTTCACAGAAATATTTTTTGCCTGTTAACAAGAATGTCATCTCCTATTCTACCATTCACTTTCTTTTTTCTTTCTTCTCAACTGTCACAAGCCAAGTAGATTGTTATAATTTTTATAAATTCCTTACTCATTGATTGATTAATTCCTGGAACTACCCTTCAGAGCTACTGATACCATCTCATAAGCATGGTTTGTCATTCCCCAAAGAAGCATATAAAGAGAATTTCCATAAAACTGTAGGGTTTTCATCCAGGTTAATACATTGAGTAATTTTCTCTATGCAATAAATTCTACATTCAATATAACCACTATTGGAATCTGGCATCAGTATTAATGCGTTTATTAAGTTAAGCAAGGTCCTCTTGTTTTTAAGCACTCCATATATGTATGTATTTTTTTCTTTTAAAAAAATTTTATAGGGAAAGGAACAAAACAAGCCTGACTCTTCTCCTGTATACATTCAAAATCCCTTTGAACCCGCTCTTAACATCAGCAGAAATGTTAATGAAAGTCAGCTGGAAAGATTTGTACATCTGGCCAGAGAAAGTGCTTGGATTTTACAAGAGGACAAAGGTCGATCTTCAAAATCAAGTAGCCACCCTTGGGGCCTGGCAGCCCTGCTGCAGCCATCTGTATCAAATAAATCCAAAGCCAAGAAGCCGGGGAGAGGACCAACAGGTGAAGCAGTAAGAAAGTTGTTAGAGTCCATAAAGGCTGACTCCTCAAAACATTCAGCTGCTACCAGGGAGGAAAGGACTACTAGCACTCAGTCATGAGGCCTGTTTACTTTCTTTTAAGAATCGATTATGTCCAATAAAAATGTACTTGAAATACAGTAGGAAAACTGACCTCGGCCTTCCACAGGTTTCAGCTTTGGTTTATTCTTTGCATCTGACCCAGCTCAATATACCTGACTCAGAGCGTCCACACCTAGCTTTATCGATCAGCCGTGTGAGGCCAAAGCCAAATACTGTTTATAGAATGAAACAAAATGACAAAAGAGAGAAAAAGGTTGGGGAATAAGAAAATGAATGGACAGCAGAGGGATGGGGCCACTTTCTTTTAATAAAATCACAACTTAAAAAGCAGTTCATTGACTATAGTGCCACCAGTTTTACTGATTGAAAATTATTTTAAATTTTAAGACCTAACCATGTTCATGGCTATTTTTACTACACTTATACTTGACACCTTAAATGCAGTACAGCATTTAGGATTTGTTAGGATTGTTAAAATTTAATAGAGTATTATTCACTTTAATAATACTGTTAATTACTTTAAAATGAAACAAAACAAATGGGTGCTGCTTTCCATGTTAATGGTCCTTGTTAAGGAATAAATAAACGGCTGGGGAATAAGGAAAATAATAAATTATTTGGCCACAAATTTATAGGTATATTCAACTATAATGTATTCCTTCCTGTTTGAGGAGGTTTGAGAAACCTTTTGTAGAAAGTCAAGTGTTTTAAATGTAGTTCCTACTACACTCCCTGTAGAATCATGTTCACTCTTCTTTTATTACTTTCTACCATATAACAATTCCTGAAATCCAAGGTCTTTCAACATTCTGAGTGTGTTGAAAATATTTTTCCATTTAAATTGTGAGCAAGAGACTTAATAAGCTCTACCTGGGAGAGAGCACGTACACATTAACAAAATTGCTGTGAAAGAAAAAAAATCTGTCCACAGTAGAGGCATACAACTGTGCTATTTGGTCTCATGTTTGAAAAGAACAAACAAGCAGCAGAATTATTTTTATGTAGACAGAATCAGTAAATTTTCTAGTCATCTGTATAGTTTGGGAGCATTCTACTGGACTAATAATTGTTACTGGGAACTAATCTTTTTTTTTTAAAGCAAAACTCTTTAATTTACTGAAATTGTTTGAAGGATATGTTTGAGTGTGTGTTGCTTTGACCAATGAAAGCTTACATTTGACATATCCTTGTTATATCAGTGATGTTAAGTCTCTTATATGTTAAAGCAGGCAGGGATCTTAGAAGCTACCCGATCCAGCCATAGTATCTTTATATGTGAGGAAGCTGAAGTCCGGACAGATGAAGTGACTTGTCAGGGGTTGCCCAGTTAGAAAGTGGCAGAGGTGGGCTCTCCTTCAGGCCCTGCTGCCACCTCCCTGTCTCCCAGACAGACTGGAGGGTAGAGACCAAGGGGCTGTGGATATAGGCATTTTGTAATTAATAGGACAACTCTGACTACTTATTTCTTTTTAACCTGTCTTTTCTATTTAGCAATATTTGAGATGGCTTATGTTAAAATGGGGAGCCATTTCAATCAGCGTATCTGTGAACCAAATAATAGTATGCATTCTTTATCGCCTATTCCAGCTTTTAGTAGCTATAATTGAACAGATTCAGGAAGAAAGTTTTTTCCCTCTTTTTCTTAATTAATAGGCATTACTGTTGCTTTTCCATCTCATTCTGTTACTTTCGTCTACTTTGATTTTCATGAAGTAAAATAAAAATCAAGAGGTATGGTGTGGGAGATAGAGGGCCAGGGTTGATCTCAGGGGATTGAGTTCAAATCCTGCCTCTGACATGTAGTAACTATTTGGCCTAGGGTAAGACTCTTAATCTCTCACTGAGCAGCCAGACAACTCTTGAAGACTATTAAGTTACAAAGTATGAAACTCTCCTGAACTCCATTCCAAAATCTGATTGCTTACTCTGTATTTCAAGCTGGATGTCCCATATCCATCTCAAACTCATTGCTAAAATAGAATTCATTATCTTTCTCCTTAAAGCCCATCCCTCTTCCTTATTTCATTAGCTTTATAATTGGTCCCCCTGTATCTAAACTTTTCTCTTTTCAGTACATCCACTCCTGTGCAGCTTTGACTATATTTCTGAAGCTCAAGAAACTTCAGTGGCTTTCCACAGCTGCTAGAGCCTCATAGACCCCCTCTGTCCTTTAGAGCCCCTCCTTTCTGCCTTCAGCCCAAATTGATGACAGCTGACTTCTCACGAGTTGTGCTTCAGCCAAACTGACCTACTTTACAATATCTCATCTATGTCCATGACTTTTCTCAACCTGTTCCTTGTGCCTTGACTGCTTTTCCTCCGAATCTTCACCTTTTTGACCCCAGATCCTTTTAGGACTTGACTAATGCCACTTTACAATTTTCTCAGTTTTTAGTGTTCCTTCTTCCAGTTGCTATGTATTTGCTTTGCATATGGCCTCTATATTCTTCTCTGTGAACCTGTATTCCCTCAGTAGATTGTGTGCCCTTTTAGGGGGACTCTCTCATTTTTGTCTTTCTGACCTCAGTGCCTGGCACATAAGTCAGCCCCCTAATACGTGCTTGTCGATTGATTGATCTGCATTGATGGAGGGAGTTTCCACAACAGGAGTTCCCCACACAGATGAAATCATAGGTTGGAACCAAAAAACCAATCATTCAGCACATCTGGAATTTGGTTCCATATTGAGCTTGCTAATAGGTATATCCTTATTCTTCTGTATTAAATGATTTAACCAGCTTATCATTAAAAGAAAAATGTTATGCCCAGTAGGCTTTCTGAGAAAGTGGGAAGTCCAAATATATTTGATTTTCATTTAAAAAATGTTTTTTAAAGATTAAAGTATTGTTGGCTGTATAGAAGGGTTTATTAAAAAAAAAAAAAAAAGAAAAGAAACCTAAGCTTTATTATATTGAATATTCCACAACAAGTGTGTCATTCCCTTGGCATAAGTAAAATCACCATGCTAGAACATAAATAAATAAATGAATGAATGAAAGACAAGTGTGTTCAGGGAGAAGACAATAGTCCACTTTGGCTGGATTATAGAGTACCAGAGATGGAACGAGACCTAAGGTAGGAGAGGTGCATTGGGGCTAGATTGTAAAGGCCTTGTCTATGTTAATAAAGTTTTAGACTTGGTTCAATAGACCATAAGGAGCCAGTGAAGAATTTTAAGCAGAGAAATGACAATGATCAGATATATATACAAAGTAGCTAGATCAGGCTATGAAACCGTTAATGTGCTACCTGAGTCAGTAAACATTTATTAAGCACCTACTATGTGTCAGACACCAAACTAAGCTCTGGGGATACAAAAAGGCAGAAGAGTCCCTGCCCACAAGGAGCTCATAATCTAAGAGGGGAGATAGCAAGCTATTAAATGTTACAGACAAGCTACAGGATAAGTCAACAGAAAGAAAACACTAGAATTAAGAAGAAAGGCTTACTATAGAAGATGAGATTTTAGTTGGAATTTGAAAGAAGCCAGTAGGTGGACAAGGCATGGGGACAGCCAGAGAAAATGCCCGCAACAAATCAATGTAGTGTCTTATGGAAGCCAATGTCACTGGATTAAAGAGTATGTGGTAGGGAGTAAGGTGAAAGAAGACTGAAAAGGTATGGGTGGGGGTAGGTTAGGAAGAGCTTCGAATGTTACACAGAATTTTGTGTTTGATCCTGGAGGCAAGAGGGAGCCATTGAAGTATTTTGACATAGCAGACCTGTGCTTTATGAAAGTTCACTTTGGTGGCTGGAAGATGGATTGTTGTGGGGAGAGACTTGAGGCAGGCAGACTCACCAGCAGGCTATTACAATAATCCAAGGGTGAAATGATGAAGGCCTCCACCAGAGTGGTGGTGGTGTCAGAGTAGAGAAGGCGGCATATTTGAGAGATGTTGCATGGATGAAATCCTTAGGCCTTGTCAACAGATTGAATATGATAGCAGACAGATAGTGATGAGTTGAGAATGACTCCTAGTTTGTGAGTCTGAGAGATTAGGAGGATGGTAGGTAGGGAAAAAGAATGAGTTCCGTTTTGGACATAATTGAGTTTAAGATGCCTACTGGACATCCAGTTCAAGATGCTTAAAAAGCAGTTGGAAATGACGGATTGGAGGTCAGCAGAGAGACTGGGGCAGGATAGGTAGATTTCAGAATCCTCCTTTGAGCATAGAGATGTCAAATCTATGGAAGCTGGTGAGGTCACCAAGTGAAGTAGCAGAGAGGGAGAAGAGTAAAGGGAGAAGGGAGAAAAGAAGAAGACCCAGGACAGAGTCCTGAGGGACACCTCTGGGTATGAGGGTTATCTAGACAAGGTTTCCCCAAAAGAGAAAGAAGGGGCAGTCAGGTAGGAGGCTGATAGGAAGACAACTAGGAGAAAGTGGTGTCCTGAAAGCCCTAAAGGGAAGAGAATTTCAAGGATGAGAGGGTGATCAGTGGTGTCAAAGGCCACAGAGAGGTCAAGGAGAACGAGGATTGAGAAAAGGCCATTGGTTTTATCAATGAAGAAATCATTAGTAACTTTGGAGAGAGCAGTTTTAGTGAAATAGTGAGATTAGAAGCAGGATTGTAAGGGGTTAAGAAGAGAGTGAAGAGAAAGTGGAGGCATGCATGGTAGATGACCTTTTTAAGGAGTTTAGCCACAAAGATCAGAAAAGATCTAGGACAATAATTAGGAGTGGAAGGATCAAGTAATTTGAGGAAGAGGGAGATGATGGACATGTTTGTATGCAGTAGGGAATGAGCCACCAGACAGAGAGAGATGGAAAATAAATGAAAGGGGAGATCCCAGGGGGCGCTTTGTTGGAGGGGACAGAGTAGAATAGGATCTTTTAAACTAGTGGAGGGGTTAACCATGGTAAGGAATAAAGGTACCTCATATGAGATGAGGGTGAAGGTGATAACAGCAGAAGATGTGTGTATAGGAGCAAAGGTGGCAGATAGTGGGAGTGATCCTTCCGAAGAGTAAGGTGGCAGCTGGGTCTAGAATGTATTGGATTTCTAAATTCTCTTTTTAGCAACCCTGGTTGCTAAACCGTGGTTGTGGCACAAGTAGTTTTAATCTTGTCCAACTCTTCATGTCTTTTTTTTTTATTATAACATTCAGAATCTAAACCATTACTTTTAGAAGGAATATATGTGATAAAATGTGTTCAGTTGTTTTTCAGTCATGTCCAACTCTTCATGATCCTATTTGGGGTTTTGTTGGCAAAGATACTGGAGTGGTTTGCCATTTCTTTCTCCAGCTCATTTGACAGATGAGGAACTGAAGCAAATGGGGTTAAGTGACTTGCACGGGGTTACATAGCTGGTAAAAGTGTCTAAGGCTG